GTAATTATCCGCTTACCAATCTTGACTGTATTTATACAAGCGCATAGGTGTGTGTACATTTCCTATTACATTACTCATCACATATCTGTAACTTATTTTTGTGTAACTATAAATATTGATTAATGCTTGGCTAAATGGTAATTGGCCTACCCACCATCTCCACTGCACGACATTTTGCTTCGCTCTATTCCATTCGCTTCATATACAAAATATATGTATTGAAAAGTCCATTTTCGTTATTTGACTTATCTAAATCCGTCATTGACTAACGCGATTTAAATCATTGATTATATACGAGGATGGACAATAACATTCACACGATCTACTTGGAGTCAGATCTTGGGCCCCTAAAGTGGAGAGCCCTTCAACGAACACTATCCGAATTAAATGAAGACAAAATTAAGGGCCACACATTTGAAATTCGTCGTCACACAAGGCATAAAAACTATAACACATGGCCATGCGAGAGCCTCCAACGGTACTAGACACCTGCAGTCAATATACGTTCGATCTATACTTCAGTAAAGAATAAAGCAGTTAGCCTATTCACAAGAGGAGAAAGTAAGCTATTGGAAATGATTGAAAGAAACCAAAATAAGCTCAGTCCTGGAATCGTAAAGTTCCCATATGATGATAGATTGGTTAGAATAAATCTATCCCTATGGTATTATCGGAGAACCATGAGTGACTTGACCACATGCTTTACACTACTTATGATAAATTCGTATCTGATACGCGCCCATTTTTTCGTCTTCCAAAAACAAAAGATTACGAGGACACGAACAATTAAAAAAACCAGGACAAATCACTTAACAGATGAGTTTCAAAATTGCTATCGAATCATCAACAATAGGAACCACAACACGTAACTAACGCTCCAACTTCCGGTACATTAAAAAGAAATTTGGATTGATTGAGACGCCACTATCGCCAGAAATGACACGGGCAAACAGCCTCTTATCCTTTCCAACATGGAACTGAAACGGAATCTGTCAGTCAGGGAAGTGAATACCACATACTCTAATAACAAGTATGTTGCGAATTTCAGCTGCTGTGTTCACTGAGTTTTTATTTCTTAGATGGAGAAAACAACAGGATGTTTCAGGACCAGAAACACTTTTCTGTGTCAGGCAAATAGAGGTAGGTCATTTCTAGATCAGCGGTGAACAGTGTGTTATGTTTTGCAACCAACTGATAATTGTAGACAGCCTTAAGCAACTAATATGCAGCGAGGACTTGGAAAACTGACACTTTATGCCTGATGGTCGGTCTAATACTATAAAGCCCCGAACGGAGAAAAAGAACACAATACCATTGTTCACCAGTTTAGGATCGTTGTTATATTTTTAAGCAAACCAAACACCAGACCAATTAGGTGACAGTAACAACATGGAACAACAAAATAGTGACGGGAAAACGAAATTAGTTCGGAAATATTAAACATAGAAAAGACACTATGGGAGTCGAGGTCAACAGCCAGTGATGTCAGAGAAAACCCAAGCGAATAGGACCCCTGATGACTTGCAGAAGTGAGATATTCAAGAAATCAGATGCCACGTCGGTGGAGTTCACAACCTGAAGGATCTTCTGAGAGTCGTTATTCAAGAAAACGGAAAAACATATTGCAACTTGTTTTTGGAATCTTTAGTACGCCCACCTAGTTCGTGCATACGGTGAATAATCTTTTTCAATTCTTTTCGTCTCGATTCTTCTTTGAAAGTCATTTCGTCAATGAAAACATCTTCAAAGCAGTGAGTTTGATGGTATCACGAATTAGGCTTGACTTGACGATTCCAAACTAATTGAGCATCAGATAGGCTTAATTTTTGTAACACTCGTTGATACATCTTCACATTACTACAAATCGCAGTGATTAGCATGGTTTTGAAGACTGGACATTGGACAACAACTTTGAAAGGTACTTGTCAAAAATATTGACGAAGTGGCCAGAAAAAACCGTGTTTTTCATTTATTTAGGATCTAATTGTTGACTATCCAAGCCAAATACGCATTTTTAGCACACGTCAGCAGTAACAAAGCATTTCTACAGGAATAATGTCAGAGTAATGAACGTCTGCAGTAGTACTGGTTGGTAACCATACTATTCTTCAAGCGGATCATACGATAACTAAGAAGATTCACATCTCACAGTTGACACTAAGAGGAAGTCAAAAATGATGAAAGCAGAACACCTAATTAGTATGACATGGCTCGGCCATAGGCATCGTCACTCTATGTAACATCTTGCTTTTCATAATAAACATAATAATCCATACCTTGCCCAAATGTGCACCTCAGAACTCCTTGGCGGCAAGCGCTGACAGACACGATAGTACCGGTCAAAATAGCTAATGATGCGACTTTTATGTAGGGTCTGATAGATTAAGTAGATCAAACACCTTTAGAAAGTATTTAAAGGAAACCTGCCGAAGAGGTACTCAAACTAATAAGTGAGCCTCACTTAAAAAACTGGGTGTCTCAAATTTAAAACATGAGCATAATAGAAATAATCAGCAACCATCCCCGCAGCCTTAACAGGCCGCTAACGTGTCCGAAGTAAAAACAAGTATAAAGAAGTCTTCCGTAAAGGACCAGAGATAAAATGCATCGCAAGAAGTTCTTGCAAAAATTTCCGCCAGTGAATCAGTGAGTTACTGATATCCTTATCACTAGAGATAGTAACGGCACTCTCTTGTCAACCTATCGAATGCAGGCTCAACATTTGCTATAGTTCCACAGTGCCCAGGTGATTACACAAGATACTACTAATTTATCATTTCTGACGTAAAACAGTCTGACTTGACTTCGGTTTTAGTATAACCAGTCTTCATTAGTTAGGATACGAAGTCAACAGACCTATGTTAATCCTCGCAATATGTAGTATCGTGAAGATCCAACATCACTTTGGATGTATCAACTGATACTGCTAATATTAAGAGTAAGGGGATTCCAAAACGTCACTGTCCGTTTCTCGAAACGGACTTTCACACGTAAGCAGTTTGATCACGGTTTTGAACTTGCTTTGAACGTCATCTCCGATTATTATTCCTAGACGGAATGAAGAGATGAAATTTTGTCACGAAGACTGTAGTTCAGTATACGGCAAGTCAGTCTCAAATCACCTCATAACCCGAAATAACGGAAATAGGTTGAGTCGTCTCAGTCTGTCTTATCAAGATGGGCCAGTGAGATCTTTCAGAATTTCAGTCGTTCCATCGTATCCACCTCTTGAATCTTACACTCGAAATGCGGTCTCATGGAAGTCGGGCATAATACTCCAAAAGTTTCTTCTTCCAAGTAATGTAAACATTTATAAATAGCCCACGAAACCCTGAAGCAGTTACTCGCAGTTTGAGGTTTATGGTTGTTATGACTCCTAGACCTACATAGTCCATTACTTAAGGTAATACAATTTCACTTATGACGTGAGTCATCGCAGTTATTTTTTTCATCGCTTCACTATCGACGGAACTGAGTTCTAATGATCGCCTGTAAATCCATTCACTCATTGAGTTTCATCCATTCTGTAACATTTTCAATCTGACAAACTGTTGAGGATGATACAGGTTATCCGTCTCTCGTGGTCTAGAGACAGATCGTTTACGTGAAATGCTTCTACGTGGGCTGTGTGAGCGATTACGGTCGTTACGATGATTAAGATAACGCGTGAGTGTATGACATAACTCGGTTATGTCATTCTGAGTCGTTTGAGGCTTTTCTTTGACTGAAAATACCTCTGTAGTAGACGATTTCGTTATTTCTGAAATACGATCGGCAGATGCAGCCAGCTCGTCTAAGGCGTTGTTTTGAAACAATTTGCACCTGTTGAGGAAGTTTAGACAAGAAAAGTTGTTTAAATAGGCCTTCGTCGAAAAGTCTTAGGTCAATCACTTCTCTCATTCGTTGCAACATGTCCGTCGCAGAACCGTGTTGCAGGTTGATGTTATTGAAGAGTTGATCTAACCTTCGTCGATCGGTTGGGTCTCTTCGTTTAAGAATCGAACGTTTTAGGATTTCGTAAGGTTCGGTGTTACGTACCTGTTGAATTCGCGCTGTAGTGCCTTGACTACTGCGACGAATTGTGCACGTGTGTCGATCACACCGTGCTCGGAGAAGTCGGCTTCTGCGTAGCAGAACCAGGCTTCGATATTGTCGGGCCAGAAGGGCATCAGTTGAAACGAAGGCGGGGACAAAGTCTTAAGCTTGAGTACTTTGGGTGTCTGTTCAGTCATGATGAAATATGAAAATATATATATATCCAAGAAAAAACACGAAAAAAAATCACAATGTTTAAAAAATAAGGCAATGATATATAAAAATCCCAAAAAGGAACAGACTCACAGTTGAAATTAGGTGTACCAGATCACGTCGGTCTCACCAATGAGGATGATACAGGTATTCAGTGTTTGACAACGCTTCTACCAGTAACACCTTCTAATATACTTTGTTCCCACCGAGAGAAATCAAAAGACAGAGTCGAGGAGATTGGAAAAGTGTATTTGGCGATAACCGATATATTGGAAGATCTCTGATCTAATCTGGCTAGCGATTGCGGTAGATGTTGGGCACAGCGTTACCACACGTGATCTGGTGCGGATGCATGACCGAGTGCCTTCAGCTAGATGAGTCCACTAAAACATATGGTCAGCATCCAATGTCGAAAACTTACCGAGCTATTTATTTTGGGGATTTATTTACCGCTACACTGTGTATGAACCTCCAAGTTTTAATGTCAGCTGTAACGGACAGAATAAATGACTTTGCTGCAGAGAGTAAGTGATTTACACAATGTAAATAAGGAAAGGGGTTGACAATTGTATCTTTGGGAAATTCGCCCGCTGTTAAGGCAGCGATTGCCCGTGCTTTGTTTCTCCAACCACCGGTTAAGTTTAACCGATTTATGATCTCCATTTTTAAGACCTTGTCAAAGGTTATGAATCATATTGCTCAGTAAATAAAAGCAGGTCTCGAAAATTAAGTGGTTTAAATGTACTATCTATCAAGGTTTGAGATTTGAAACAATAGTCCAGATTACAGTGTATATTTAATTGTAGACGTTACTGATAGTTGATTGGTTACGTCTGTTCAGTTAAGCTGTCAGTTACACAATGCTGTTCTTAATTTGCTCGTAATCCGAAGAATATTGCAAACTGATCATTAAAATGTTTCGAAAAGAACTTTCTCCTACTAGTAGGAGCTGTCACATTCAAGCTAGTGATATAATCGGTAAGATTCGCTTTTCAACCCTCAATATCCTAACTACTTAGCTTCTGGTGAAAAGTTCGTGTGGGTTAGCAGGTAAATGTACAAATTACGTATTAAATTACCTCTGGTTTGTTCAGCTAATATGACGAACAACAAACAATTGTTTTTAAATTTAAATTATACACCGTATGAAGTCTTTAACCATAGTTTTTCACTTATTACCCAATGTGTTAACACTATGGTTATCAGAATTAGTAGCTTCATCACTTACGTAGAGTTTAGTAAGAATCCCTAATCAGTGTTCTAAAGCAGTTTGCTCCGATACAATCCATTGTGAACTAAGTATCACCAGTAACTTACTTTATAAGAATATCTGTCTTTCCAAATTCATTAACAAACACGTAAACGAGAAGAAAATAAGGCTTTTGATAGCAGTTGTTATGCATCTGCGTTTTGTAAAGTTAAAGTCAAAAAATAACTGTCTGTGATATACTAACACATAACTTTGGAAAAGCTCTTAACATCACACTCACTGCATCTAAATGTAGTACCGTTTTTGCAATTGCCCTATAATAAAAATCACCAACAAAGACAGACCAGTTGAATTTACCACATCCATTTGTGTTAACCAATTTAACTGCTCATATGGATCCGGTTATGTAGTGCACAATTGAGCAAGTCCCTTGTTATATCCTCTAACGCCATCACTTAAGTGACAAACAACACCAAGTCAACCTGAATAAAGTTTTCTACCATATTCCACCAAATTTTTGCAAGGTTTATGAATTCGCCCTTTGCGCACTGCTAAAGCTATCAAAATTAATCATCACATGAATGTGGTATTCGAAAAAAATCTATACACAATTTTTCCATACTTTGGCTATCGATATAGAGGATAAAAATGTGGGTCATGTTGAAACTTTGATTCACCCCACTATCTAAAACTTTAGGAACCTCTCTTACTTACGTGTTCTTGTACAAATTCGACATCTATCCGTTTACTCCTACTTGATAATTATAAAACTGACTGTTAATCTTGACTATTTTTTCATTAAATACCATATCATCTACGAGCCATCGAATTACATGTTCTCAGTCTTTACACAGAATTGCTTTGCTTGTCATAATTAATGCGTTCTATTAATCACTTGATTAATAATTTGTCATCATTTTTATATTGATATGTAAAACTACAGCATTATTACGTAAAACTACTACTCAGCATCATCTTATTATTATTGTATGTCGTATACAAGCGAATGTAGTGATAATAAAAAATTTATCTAAATATATATTTCTCTCTATTCATCTGCTCATTAAATACTTATTTCCAAATTCGCGACTTTGCTAATTATGCTTAGATCGCTATTTCAGGTTTTGAAGGAAAATTCCCACCATAAATAGCGTCCACTGAAATTATGTTTGTGTGTTAGGAAATCTGACGTGGTTTCCCGGATAGCCAGACTAACGTTTCTTACTACATGACACTTTTATCAAGGCATGCCTACAATATTAAGGGTAGTGATGTTCCTCGTGACATTCAAACTCGCGTCACAAGTTCATAGTATTACTTAGCTATTTGAGCTTCAGCTGGTTTCAGTTCGTGAAACTGGCTAACGCAGGTTCAGATACCACAGAAAGAATCATTTCCTTAAAAAAATTAGGTATGCGTTACTGGCAACTGGGAACCACTATGTTACATAGGACCACTGTTTTTGTGCCCCTTGACAAATAAAAAAGTGGTTTTCTAAACGTTTAATGAATGATCTAATTTTAACAAATACTGTAATTCCTCGAATTCAGTAACAAATTATTGTTTTTACTACCCTTTTTTGTGTTATCTTGTACTTCGAATTCGAACAGCCAGGGTATAGTCTATTCGGAGGGATGTTTCGAAAGTACTTGAGCAGTGTCCGATGAACTTCACTTTGAATACGCATTCAGTGCTAAAGACATTCCTTTCTTTTAAAATTAAAATGTAATGTGCTATTCCACGTAGATAGTCTAGTACCGAGCTCTTTTCATTATTTTCTACGAGCAGTTTAATACGTACAGCTACCTTCTTGTGCTTTCTTTTTAAGTACTGTTGCTTGATTCCTACAATAAACTGTTTAATTTTCAATCAATTTAGACGTTGTTACTTTATTAGAGGATCACCAAATTTCCGTATACTTAGATAAGCGGCACCGATAAGTTGGCTAAAGCCTCAATGCCATCCCAGAACCTCATTGTTCGTTTTAGGAGGAAATTCCGCAACAAAGGGGGAATCGAACGTAATTCACATAATTAAAAATGTTATTCCCTCTTTCAATGCTCATCTTTATTATTATACGTCATTTTCACAGTCGCCGTTATTAATGTTCGCCCTTTTTAACAGAAGCTTTTTTCATTTCTCCTTTTGCTCACACTCTTATTAATGTAGGCCAAACAAACAATAGTAGTAACGTCCAGTATGTGATAATCAGAAAAAACATAAGATACTCTACCGTATTGACGAAACGTCTCAATACTAAGTCTCAAAAGGACTACATTTTTAATCCATGTACTATATACTCAATAGTGTCATCATTCGATTACACTTTCTTCACGATCGATATGTTGACATTCGAACACTTAAATCTCAAAACCAAAGTTTCTTTGAGACTGAAATCAAAGTCACATATTTGATGGTAGATTTGGGAAATAAGAAAATAAGTTAATCTCACTTATAAAGGATGTTGAAATACCCTTAATTTAAATCATGAGGTAAAGACTACATCCTTTTAAAAGCGAAAAATAGATACCGTTTTTGCGAAACAATTAGCATATTATAATAGGGAAACTAAATATATAAATAAATACTTGTTAGCCAAGTCAAGTAATAAGTTTAACTAATTCAATCAACTTAGCAAGCTTTATTATTAGTAAGGGTTTGTGGAAATTGTGGAATATTATACTTAAAACATCGTCAATTATTTTTAGTTATTTTACCATTGAAAAACAGAAACCATTAGACCGATCGAGTTCAAACTTATTGGGTGTCAGACAGTTCTCCACCAATGATAGCGTAAGGTGGTTGTGGAATATCCTAAATGAGTTGAGGTGGGAAATGTAAACCACTGGATGCCGACTCAGTAGTTTAAAAGTTAAGGACTTACCACAAAACTTGAAGGTTTTAGGTTCAATCCCCGTTGTGAGTATGGATGTACACTAGATTCTGCTGAATGAATTAAATTCTCTAAATTATTATTAGATTAAAATATCGTAAGACAAAAGTGTCACCAGACAATATGACTATGGAGTGATTTATCGAATACAAAAACAAAAAATACTAATTAAGTTTAAATGAATATGAAATTCAGTGAGATTGAACTTGTTTCAATAGTCATGTCATATGTCTGATGCTTTGTTTGTTTGTTTAATGAAAGAGAACAGTTTATGGTGTGATTAGCTTTTAAGAAAATAATGTGTAATATATAAAAAATATTGAGAGAATGAACAGTGAATTTTATGCTACACAGATAAGTTAGTTTGGACCAGATTGCCAGGCAAAATGTTGGATTTACTTCAAATTCTTTCGCTAAAATTTTACAAATACATTCTTCCTCTTTACCACACAACATTGTTTCGTGTATACTAATCAATTCTTAAATTTCCGTTGTTAAACTTATAAAAAAAGCGGATAAATAACGATGAAGACATTGAAATTTCTTGGAAAATTTTTTTAAAATATTTTTTTCGGATTATTTTAATATGAACAAAAGGTAAAACTCTTGGTAAATTCGGTATATGGGTGGCAGTCAAATCCTGGATGTGCATTTCGGTCAATTTGAGGCTAATTAGTTGGATCCACCTGGATCCCAATGTTGATGTTCATAATGAAACTTGAACTCATTATATTTCCCTTCAAATGCCCAACGACAAATTGATCAAATGCTTTCCTTAAAATCAAGAATGTAAAACTGAAACGTTTACAAATAAAAAAAGCCAATCGTGATAACGAAACGAGAGGAAGGATCGGTCAGCGACTCCTACCTTTACAATCATAAACATACACCACCTATTTTTAAAATCCCAGTGTATAAGATTCCAAAAATGAACGGATTACTCTAACGAAGGGAAGGTGCAAAGCAGAAAAGCTGTAAGAACAAACAGTCTTTTTATCTGGAACTTCGGAAAGCAATAAAGTATGGTGCTAACAGTAACTAAAAAGATTATTAGTCTTGAAAAAGTTAGTTCTACGTGTAAATGAAACACTATAAAATGACAAGTGTTAACCATGAACTATAGTCAAAAAATGGTCATGGAAACCAATAAAAATCAGTTTAAGACGATAAGCGAATAAAAAAGTGTTACAGAGAAGATAGCCTCTTCAGATTTCAGATTAGGTGAGATACAGTAGCGTGCTATTACTAGACAGCGTTAGATGATTGAAATAAAAAACCCAGTGACGGTTACACTCTTATATGCAACACACCCACCAACTGGGTGTGAAAATGCTATGTATTGTACTTTTTTAAAACTTGAAAAAAGAATAATTAATTTCACACGCACACTGGGGGTTCCGGACTTTTGCAGATCTTCACTCTTACTCAATAGTTCCTAGATTATTTTCAATTCCTCCCTAGCCTTCTGAATTAAATATTTAGATCCAGTTTATATTATTCCGATATAAAGTTGAAGAAAATCGGTATACTGGTTCAATGAAGTCTCTTTTTCAATTAACAATTCTTTTCATATTCCTATATGATTTAGACAAAATAAAATTTAAACTTTTCTGATCATCAGTTCAACATATAATTAACCAACATGTAGAACTCTACTACCTGTGTATCTCAATGATTCATTTCCAAAGATCATTGTAATCAGCATCATTACAGTTAAATAGTTCAGTGTACACCAGCGTTATCTCTCCTTCCCTGATTATGCCATCTGATTTGTCATTAATTATGTTAAAGCTACTACTGGCGATTGTATAATGAGCATGGATAAATGTAAATAAGTCAATAACTTTTGTTTAGTCATGAACATGTTTTCATTTTCACAATATTATTATCATTGAAAAAACGGGCTTCCTACTGTGTTATTGATTAACCAGTTATGAAATTTTTGTTTTCACGATATTAAGATTATTAATCAGTCAATTGTAAATCGACTAAGCTCTAGTTTATCTGAAATATAATTTGTTAATCAATATGAATGACCTATGCTCTTCCACGTGGGGTAATAGGTGTAAGTAAATGTAAAGTTGGTAATCAATTTGTGATAGATCGATATAAAAATAAGTGATTCAGTCGTGGTTTTACCAAATCTTCACAAACTCCCTCTCCTGCACTAATAAAAAACATGTGTTAACTAATGACTAATTTGAAGAGGTGATTCCCTGAGTTCTAATGTTAAACCGTAACCAGTGGAGTTCAACCTTGTCAAATGTGAGGTATTTTCACACAATCAATATTGGAAGATGACTGTGTAATACTCACGAATTGATTGAAGTTAGGTTTTTGGACCATATGGATACCAAGTTGATGGTCTACTTGTCACACGCTCATCGTGAAACTTGACGGTCCTCGGTCCGACCTCAAATTTATTCGTGGATAAGCAATACTGAAGGGTCTCATATTACGATGAAATATCTTTCCAGTGTTTCCTGATTCCCAATGGTTGTTTATCTAAATTCAATCTGTAATGTAAATTACTAAGTTAAACAATCTCCAAACCCGCCCTCGCTGTACTATCAGAAATCCGTTTTCGTCGTGTTAAAGATAAATATCTGTCATTCTTCTCTGTCATCGAGTCTTACTCGTTCACGTGTGACTTTCTAAAATATAAAATCATTGTGTTTGTTCCAGTTAGTTTAATTATCGATATAATCGTTATCAAGCAATTATATTGATTAAAAAAAACAATTTCCTTTGTTTATTAACAAAATCACATGGTCACATCAAGAAGTAATTATTTCCAGCTAATATTTGTTTGAGTATAGGGTTGCGTTGGTTCTTGAGTTTAGTTTGATATCATGAATGGATCGATGTTAGACCACTATTGACAACTAGGAAACATTGGACGGTCGTTTCGTCCTATTATGGGATTCCTCAGCAGTGCGCGTCCAGAATCCTGCAAGAGGGGCTTCGACCCAGGACCTTTGGTCTCGCGCGCGAACGCCTAACCTCTAGACCACAGAGCCGGCCGTTTGTATTTGTTTGAAAGGTCCTTAAGGATTTTATCCCTTATTTTCCTTCTTTTTTACGTCTGTGCAACACCATTTCAAGACTATTCATTTTAAGAAAATTGACATACATTTCCTTGAGTTCTGTTGTGTTTTTGAGTAAACTTAAAATTGACCAAACTTTGTTCAAATTCTTAATGATTAAAACTGAAGAAATTATAATGAATGAAGAAAGTATATTTGGAGAACATTTAACCAACTTTCTGTTGACAATGTTATGTAATACATCTTTGAATATAAATGTGTCTGTAGGTAGGTCTGGGGCTAGAACCTTCAACGCAGTTCGTCGATGAAGTTTTAATCAGAACAAGATAAGACCCTCAGCTATAAATTTACTGGAGAAATAATCTAGCATACGTTTTAAAATAATAATGGGATTGAATTGTCACATTTAAATTTCATCTCCCAGTATCCAAATCACACTTACAGGATTAGTGTTAATATCTGTAACTTTGAAGTTATTGAATATTGAGTTGAACCGTGTTGATAGATGAAAAAGGGCTTGGTTGAAGTCTTCGAGATTATTGTCATCAATGATTTAGAATGTGTAAAGTGACTCGAAATTAGTTACAATGGCGTAGATACATTCATTCTTACCTCCCCTCATATATCTTAACTTTCAAAATTATTTTAAAATTTTTAATCCACAATCTCATTTATTCGTCTTTAATCAATCTCATTGTTTATGAATGCCTTTTTTTTCTCTTACTTTGGAATTTAAATCGAACTAATACACACATATGTCAAATTCTATCTTGTTATCAATGTGTGGGTTATGAAGATTATTAAGTTTTTTAATTCTATCTTGTATATGAATAGGTGATTTGTATATTAGTTAATTTATAGGAATTAGTGACAAATTACTTAAATTCATTTATATCAATCAATTTTAGAGTATACAAGTACACTTTAAACTGTAACAAACTATATACTCATTTTTAATGAGATAAAACTTGATGTAATTGAAATTGAAGATGATAAGTGTAAGATCAAACAATCGATCTAAGAATCATAAATACTGATTCATTTTAATTCTTCTTTTTTTTAATTTCTAGTTCTCAGTTTCTTAATAATAGTTTACATCATGGATCGTTTATAATTAGATAAACATTGAAAATCAACAAGCATTAAACAACTATTTTTCCTTAATATTAAGACTCTTTATCAATGCACATCTATGATTCTATCTGAACTCAAGACTTTTGGTCTCGTTTGTGAATTCTTAGTCTTTATACAACTGAGCTGAAACTTATTGGTACACATGTTCAACTCTAATTCATTCATTATATTTCGTGGTCATCTCTCATAGATGGTCATTGCTGAGGCAGAGTTCCATACTAAGACAAAACAACTAATTAATTAACAGAAATCATATTGATTTAATAGTTGAATTCATGAGTCAATTGAAGCTAGATCACGATAGAAAACCTGGAAGCACTGGAAGGCCGTTTCGTCCGATTGTGGGACTCCTCAGCAGTGCGCATCCACGATTCCGCCTCGTGAGATTCGGACCCAGGACCTATTAGTCTCGCATGTGAGCGCTTAACCTTTTTTACCACTAAGCCGGCATCCAACAGTGTGAATGTCTAACTTCAACTAATCCACGAAATTGAGTGACACCCCCCCATTGTCTTTATTGAATTACTATCTCACAAGAGACCTAGTTGAACTCCACTGGTCATCACTTCTCACTAGAACTCCAGTGAGTATATGTTGATTAGTATTTGTTTTTTTTTATTATACATCAATGAAGAATTTAGTAAATTGATTAAAAAAAGAAAGAATATTCAACTCTTTTGATCTTATCTTGAATAATTAGGTTATTTCTTTTATTTACAGTCACATTCATGTACATTAATAATAATAATAATAATAATAATAATAATAATAATAATAATAATAAAATTGATTAACTCACAGCTGAATTTGATAGAATAAACAAAGTTCATGTTTTAAATATAAATAATATATTTGTAATATCCCAATGAGTAGAAAATTGGATTTTCTGACGTTTCGTGACTTAGTGTAAGTCACTTCTTCAGAGAATAAATAACCAATGAACCCAATGCTCAATTTATTCGAAATTATCAAATCAAACCTTGGTAATGACACCTACAAAGTTCATGTTTGTTTGTTTGTTTTTGTGTTAACATTTTCATGGTAAATTCATGTTTGTTTTCCTTCTTTCTGATATTCCTTCTGATTATTATTATTATGATGATTGTTACATTTTTCCTTTTATAGAAAATCTCTTCCATGTAAAATGGTTAAAACGGATTTTAGTGTATGGTCATTTGTGAAACAATCTATTGGAAAGGTAACTATTATTATTATTACCATTGTTAATTCTAGTTTTAATTCTGTTCAAAAAGAACATTAAATTTCATTCATTATTGTATTAATGAATGAGTTTCGTTGAAATTAAGTGTAATTGTTTCCTGTTAATTCGAAATATCTGAAATATTTTACAAACAGATAATCATATTTGTAACTAAATATTGATTATTTTGTGTGTCCATTTGATTTTGCCCAAACCGAAATTACCTCAATATCTATAGTTACTGGTTAAAGCTGTTGAATGATTCAAAATCATTCACAATAGTGTAGATTCATTCACTCTTCAGCATCTTCCTAGATCATAAGATGTAATATTCCTTCATACATATCTTTTTTTTTCTACCTTTTTGAACCATGTTTGGTCTTTCTTATAGGGATTACTGTTACGTTATTTGCTTTTCATCTTTTTATATTCATTTTGTCGTTCTAATTTTGTATGACATCGCCCAACGCACATATGTGCCAGGTTCTTTCATTGATTTTGACTGTTTGACTTTGGTGGGCTATCTTTATTCAGCTACTAACCTGTTAGGTTTGTATAGTTATTGATGGGATGAATACACTGTGTCATGGTTCGTTTACTAAATATGAGTCAATAAAACAAATTAGTCGAATTAGCTTAACAGAAAAACTTGTTTGTTTTAACTATCCAAAAATTACGAGATGATATTCTATTTCCTAATCCGTATGGTTTTACGGTACAAATATTAGTTGCTATAGTGAACGACAACGTTTTTATTTTTTTCTATAAACAGCCAGGAGCCCTTCCTGGTTGACCTTGCGTTTGATTGGTTGTTCTCTATATACCACCTTTGATTATTAATTACACGGATAACTGATCATTCTTAAAGTCTTATCTCTAGAGAAGTAGTTTTCCATTAAATTTTTGGCTATATTGATAAATATTGATAAGAAGTTGACATAGCAAATAAATCAAGGTAATTACGGACTGGTTACAATTTTTTTTAAAGTTTGATAATTTAGTCAATAGGGAAGAAATAACAAAAAAAATGCAAGTGTTTGAATCCTTCTGTCGTTAATATTAAGGGATGAATTTCGATTGAGACAACCCAATCAGGATAATACACAAACTATGAAAAGTGATTGATCAATTGACGTTTTTAAGATTAACAACCGAAAGATTCGAACCCTAGCTACTGGCTATTGTGACTCATTAGGTCAGTGGGTAATGTGTCAGGGTGTTTGAAGCGAAGATTATTGGTTTCAAGTTTCGGTATGAACATCGATATTAGGATGCAGGTGTAAATTCAGCTGATAACTTAAAAATAGAATAATCACTAACCACACTCCATCTATTCTAAAGATTTAATGTTGACCGTTGATTTTCTGCTCTCATCCATCTAAAATCTCGTCTGTTTAGTAAACAATTTTGTTTCTTATTAGATGGGTTTTTAGAATATTATAATAATTTCAATGGTCGAGATCATGAGTCAATAGGACGAAACGGCCATCCAGTGCTTTTAGGTTTTCCATGGTGGTCTAGCTTCAATTGACTCATGATCTCAACCACAGAAATTTTGTTTCTGTTAATCATCTCATATTCACTACTCAAAAAAGTGAACAATTCAAATTGACTAGTTATATTTTTTTTCTCTAAGTAATTAAAAGTTATTACTCTCTGTTTTCCAAAAAAAAACTACATATGATCGGTTAGTTCCGTGAATTATGAAAATATTGATTTTCACAAGTATTGATCAGAACAATTAGAGATAAAAATAAATTAAGATTATGTAATAGTGTCAATTACTGTTCACTACTATGATATCATCAACTTATATGGGTGATTACACATACAATAACCAGGGAAATCTCCTTATAGGAAGAAATTCAACTTGCTTTGATTGAGTAATTGTTGGATAATTAATAATCTCAAGTTAGTTTGCGCTTATTAGTTTTAACAAACAAGGAGTACATGACAGTTGCTATGTATGAGGTTGGGATTCTTCAAAACCATGCTCTTATAAACTTCCCAATAAGGGAGGCGTATGCTTAACCTTTAGATTAATGATTTTCCATCCAATAACTCACATTTACAACTTGATATATCTATTGCCTGGACCGTTGACACTGATTTTCTGACCGTTTCTTAGACCCTTCCGCTTAGAATTCTCCTGCATTTCAGCCTTAAACAAAAGATAAGAGACGAAAATTATGAAGTGAAACTTTCAAAATTAGTTTAAGCATAGAAAAAAGGGTGGTTTTAGGTTTGTGTTATGACTCTTATTTGCTAGTAGCCTTTGAAACTAATAACAAAACAAGTAATGATCCGATCAAGGAAGGAAAAATAATAGATCGTTTCTATGGGAAACTCTTGGAAGTTTTTATTGAACATTGATCGGAAAAAGTGTTATCAACTTTTTTAGCATGTTAAAACGTTTACGAGGGATTATCCAGAGTTTCCAACGAAATTTCAATTAGTTGCGTTCTTGTCATCCAGTAAAATTATTAGATTGTTATTTCGAAATGATCGAGCACCATTGTTTACGGTTTTCCAGTTGAGCTCTAGGAATCTAGTCACTGTTGTGTATATGGTTCTCGTTATTCAGAGGTTTATGAGTAACATTATTGTAACTATTGACTGAACATGAAAAGTTGGTCTTTGACTACTCAGCGGTTTAAAAATGTCATTCTTCATGATATCTGTATGTCCTGTGTCGTAGGTGTACATATAGCTAAGTAGTCTCAGAATAGGGTGAAATAACTTTCTAATGTTGTACTATTCTGTTAAGTAATTTGCTAGTGAATGCCGTTCGGTAATGTATATAATTTTTAGTATGAAAAATCTCTTACTGCTCCCTTCAATTTACTAGTTTTTGTTAATTACTTACCTATCGATTGTATATTTCTTTTCTATTTCAAGGAATTATCAAAAATCACTATGCCAATTATTCTTAATGAACCGTTAAGTTTTCTGCAACGTGTTGCTGAATACATGGAATATTCGGAATTACTAGATAAAGCAGTTGGAGAGAAAGATCCTATTAAACGTATGGAGGTTAGTTTTATTCCGTCTAAAAACTAATTTCTCATTTATTCATTGGATTGATGTGTGTAAGTGAAAGCCAGTACGTTACAATAACTGATTAAACTCACAACATTAATAAAACAAATTTCACTACCAGTTAAGTCGTTGTGGGTTTCGCAGTCACATCAACCTTGTTACTACTAATATAACGAGTGAGAGTCAGCCCCAACAGTCAGGTTTTAATTGAACAGAGAATAAGCGACCTACGAACTAACTTGAACCAATCGCTTAAAATAATTTATCACGTTTATTTTGTGTTTAGAACTAATGTATAAGCATTTCCCTTTATTACGTAAGAAAACCTATTTTTCTGTCGAGTTTTTTTGTCTTTGATCTTAAATCATTCCATAGCTTACGTCAATAATCCGGTCTTTTTGCAGCTATCACTGAGACACACTGTATTATAGCATACTTTCTGTCAATCGACACTCGTCTCATTTGTTTTAACAATCAAAAATTTGTTCATAAAAGTGTGGTTCATAACTACCTACCCTTGGCGAGTATTCTACCTCTAATTTTCGTAAAACTTATTATTGGTTACTCCATACACAATCAAATATCTAGAGGACCCTAAGGAAAAATACAAGTAATCTATGCATGTCTGCCATCAATTGCAATCTTCAATAGCTAGAGATCGTTTTCGAGTGAACTGTCACTTAATATGCTCTCTTTTCTTACTAAATAAACGGATACCTTGATTACTCTATAGACAGTTCACATGAGTTTTTTTAACCGATGCAAAGAATTTGCCAGCTACCAACTCAACAAAGTTAATGCAGTTGTCGAGATAATAGAAATTGATCAACGCGTTCAACTAGTTAACCCTTTTTGATGAGATTAGACATTAACTTAAGGTAATTCTAAATCAATATTTCGTACTTTGAGTTGAAGAAATCGATACCGAAAGTTTTTGCACCGTGACCTAGAGCCATTCAAGGAACTGGTATTTCTTTCAATTTTATGTACTTAATCCGTTTTGATGGAATAGTCTGTCAATAGAGCAGCTCTTAACAGTATAATTAAGAAACAGTAAAATATGTCCTAATAAAATTGAACGAGATTGATGGAGTGAGAAATCCTTACCAACATCTCATAATACATCTATTTTAGACAGTTTGGTCAGTGAAAAGCCTTCATCAGACTGATGCAGTTTTTCGATACAGACTGTTCAATAATAGACATAAATACAAAACTTCTAATCAGAAGTTGCATGTCGTTTCCACTTCAAAAAAATGCGGCTTTAGTCGATAAAATTGTTAAATACCCAATGAAGATGAACTAATCCTAATTGAGAAGGCAATGTTTCATTTTTCCATTTGCACAACATATAAAATCATGGTTTACTGTTAGGGCTAATAAACTCAAAAATGTAACGTATTATGAAAGTACGAGTATAACGATCCTTTTGTCAATATGGAATAACTCCAATATCCGGCATTTCCTGGCATTTTTCTCCACTCCGATAGTATGTTGTTGTTACATATAAAAGTGTAATTTTCACTAAGGACTTCATTTTAATAATCTAAATCTGTTCTGTGAAAACGTACTACTGTTGCTCATTATAACTAACCATATTAAAATACAAATAAGATGTAATTCAGAGTTTGAAATAAGATCTTCAAAGAAAATTTTACTCTTAAATGCAACAATCACTCAGTAAATGGACCTAAAAAAATAAAAATAAACAGCTAGATATCGCACACGTATATTGAATACTTTAAAAAGTATCAGTATAGGGTTGTGGGGATTATTAAGTTTTTGATTGAGATCATGAGCTGATTGATGTTAGACCATCATTGAGAACTTGAAAGCACTGGACGGCTGTTTCGTCCTATAGTGGGACTCAATGGTGGTGTAACATCAATCAGTTCATGATCTCAATCAAAAACTTAATAATCTCCACAACCCTATACTGATAATTACCATGTGCTCATTAGTGACTAGCTTCTTGAGGGAATTTTCGGAGTTCTAGAGAGAAGCCGTGACCAGTGGAGATAATCCGTATCGGGTAGAGACAGGTATCTACCTCAATACAATGGAAAATCGCCACTCAATTTTGTTGGATTAGTTGAGTTTAGACATTAACATCGTTGGATGCCAGCTCAGTGGTCTAGAGGGTAAGCGTTCGCGCTCGAGGCCGGTATGTTCTGGGTTCGAATCCCGCGAGGCGGGATCGTGGATGCGCACTGCTGAGGAGTCCCACAATCGGATGGAACGGCCGTTCAGTACTTACAGGTTTTGCATGGTGATCTAGCTTCAACTGACTCATCATCTCAAATGTTTAAATTACTACAATCTGCACAAACCCCTTCTGATACTAAAATTAATTCATTGAGATTTTTCATTTAAAAATAGTAACTATAGAGTTTAGTAATAAAAACAATCCTGTGATTCAATAATAATAATAATAGTAATAATAATTATTGAATTTGATCAATAGGTGAACTTAGATTTAAGCTGAACTCTTTTAGAATCTTTATCAGATAGATCACTTTTTGTAGGATGTATGTTTCGAAAAAGTACAGTTTAAGAGAGAGAGAGAGAGAAAGATAATCGAAATTTGTTGTACTAGGGTTTAAAGTATCATTGGAATAGTTATTATTACTGTACATCGTATTTATGAGACTGTTGGACTTCCAACTATTTAATGAGTAACTTTGAATGAATTTTATAGAGAATGGGGTTAAAGATTGCTAGAATTATAGAGCATTTAGATTTCAAACTGCATTTGTTTATCTATATATTTATGTATTTTTCTAATTGCTTACCATACACAATTTTGTAATGAAGTCAGATAGTGGCTAGCTGTGGAATTCAGAATACGCATTTAATCCTGTTTGTGAGTCGTTAGCCGCATCTACCAACTTCTCGTTACTGAGACTCGGAGCCAGAACTTTCCACTTCAAACTCCTGATGGATTATCTATTGGGGTATTGAGCCCAGATGGCCACTACCTTTTGAAATCGGTATAAATTTTATTTGTAAGATGAAGGTATAGCTTCCAGTTTCAGTGTGATCATCCAAGTGATGAGTCTAGAGTAGGACGAAACGTGGGTTCTGGATTCCAATACTAGCTACCGTCTAACTTTATTGAGAAAACAACCATAAATCAGTATTGAGATAATCTTTCCAAGATGCTAATATGTCAAAAAGAGGCTGGTCAATTACAGTCTTTGACATTAATAAAAAAAAGGTTATACAAACTCACTCTTTGGTGTAGTTTTGTTCTCTGAGCTGGATGGTTTGGTCGTTGAGCTTTCATCGTTCTTCTGAACGACATCATCAACACAAACTTCAAATAGAAGTAAAGTGTTCGAATTTCTCCATATGTGCTTCACAGCTTGTTCTGTGCACCTCGATGTTGATTGGTTCTTATTGAGGTGCACAGAACAAGCTGTGAAACACATATGGAGAAATTCGAACACTTCACTTCTATCTGAAGTTTGTGTTGATGATGTCGTTCAGAAGAACGATGAAAGCTCAACGACCAAACCATCCAGCTCAGAGAACAAAACTACACCAAAATCATCCACCTGAACTACAAATCTTCTCCACCATCACAAACTCACTTAAATATTCTTTAGAATAGAACAAGTGAACAGATAATTTATTATCTTTTATTAAAAGTTTTCTAATTTTACAAAAAACAAAACAATAAATCAATCATTTGCAGATTAAGTTCGAATAATGAAAATCACTATTGCCTTGAATATACTTTAAATGTTAAGCATTAAGTTTGTAAACATGTTCAAGTTGTGTTTACAAATTTCATAGACTGGAATTAATATCAAACAACTTGCTAAGATTTCATTCTAAACAACTTTCAACTTGATTGAAATGTTCAGACTATGTTAACTGGTTGGAAGCAGTCGATATGGGACTCTAAACTCTGGTTTCGTGTTGTCATTTGTCATCAAATTTAATGTGTAATCTTGGAGAAATTAACATCCTCTGGGAGATTTGATTTTGTATCACACAGCTTCACAGTCTGATGCGTTACTACTGAGTAGTAATAGCCGATCTTATTTTTGTCTAGCCTTTTTTAGTGTTGATCGAATTCTATCGATCAAGTTACAATGTGTTCACTAGTTTAAGTGACAGAATCATATACACTACGTTGAGATTTTACGCGAGTGGAGACAGTTGATAAGGAACCCTGGGCCTAAGTTTCGTGCCATTTGGAACTGATCAGCAAGGCCTAGCTGCCGTTTTGAAGGAGTTAATGCTCTCTGTTAGATTGAGACTAGCATCAACCATATTCATATTTTGAAATATTACCAATGAACCGTGGTTAGAATACTTTCATTTTCTCTTCAATACTAAGTGATTAGAGATAATCGGTAAAGAATTACTGGATTCATGTATCATCTCAACCGGTATTCATCACCTACAATCTCAGGGCAAAAAATTACTTTCTGCAAAACTTCGAACTTACGTCACCTAGTAATTCATCCAAAGATGTTATAATCATTCAGAAAAAATATATGTGCTCTTCTTTCTGAATAGTACATAGACTTTGTGGTCATAAAGTTTATTTTCTAATTAAACTCAAAATATTGTACTTAATAACTCACATTGTTCTAGGTTCTTGATTTTTATTTTAAAATTATCTGAAAATATTTGCATGATTAAGTCGTAACTAAACTCCACCTGGAGCCCTTCTAGGTTTACTGCCAGTTCCAAGCACGGATAAACGAGAAGGGTTGAGGATGGTGTTAGCAACTCCATCCCGTTGAAAACAACTTAGCTAAAAATCGCTAACCAGAAAAACTCATCTTGACTATTTAAACTCAGCTCTGGAAGTTAAAGCGTCTTCATATAGGAACAACAATTAACATATATGTGTGGAGTGTCCTCACAATGTGCAGGTTGGAGAATCTTGGTCGGTGGCCTATGCTTCACGAGGAGTAACAGGCGTAATAAACAAGTAAACAACTTGTAGCTTTCTATTACCATAATGAGAAAAGAAT